AAAGAACTCATTAGGCCTGACACTAAATGCAGCAGCTTTCTTTACTACTTTTTGTGAATAAACTTTGTGTAGAATGTGGTTGTTCAGCTTTTTAAGGGTAGACTGGAAGAGGAGAGTAAATAGGGTTTTTTGGGACACATCTTGCTATGTAGCTCAGGCTGGTCTCAAAACTGACAAATCCCCCTGCCTCAGCCTCCCAAGCGCTGGGATCACAGGTGTGCACCACCATGCCTGGCTGAGCAATGAAGAAGCTGTCAAGAGCCCTAGGAACTGGAGTTACAGGCAGTTCTAAACCTTCTGATATACGTGCTGGGTGGGACCCATATTCTAGTCCCCTGTAGAAGCGGCAAGTGCTCTTAACCATTGAGCTGTCTCTCTAGCCCAAGGACACTTGCTTTTAGTGTCTGCAGTGAAAGTGCTTTTCACAACGAGGAAGAGCTGAGGATGCAGCTCACTGTTACAGTGCCTACCTAGCACGAATAAGGCCTGGAGTTTAAGGAAAAATTAAAAATGAGGAAGAATATATAAAACCAACAACTAAAATCGATGGGTAGCTATGAAAAGGGCACCACAGCCAGCTCACTCAACTGCCCACTTTTATTACATCATTGTTCAGAAAAGGAGTGACAGCAGTGTTGAGTCTGACCTAATGTAGAGAAAACATTCGTTGGGGGAGTGTGGTCCAGCAGCTCCCCCTCCAATGCATGTCTTAGAAAGCCATGTCCATTATAATGGGGAGGGAAAGAGCGTTTCCTCATGAAGGAAACCTACTTGATTACACAAGGAAGAGAGGAAGGAAGATAACAATACATTTTATGTACTGGATATATAAAAATAAAAGGCTACAAAGCTTACTTTCTGTTTCCTTAAGCTGCAGTGCTCAGTGTCAGTAATTACATTAGTAACCAACTCTCATTTCAAATCAGTGGCATTTGAAGTTGGGATTACATCTGAAGAGACGTTCTGTTGTCTCCCCTACTTCTGATGTTGTCAGCCGAACTCATTTGATAGCAATGGGGCTTCAAGGGAAGGGCTTCGAGGCAAAGGCTTCATTCTTCACAGCACTGTTATTAACAACACTATTAAGCCAGACGGAAGGGGTCTCTAGGACCACAGGAGTAATAGTGGCGAACACTATCTGACATCATGAATGTAAGTAATACTATTAGAATATAAACTTCAAAAAACGCCTGGCTGGGCGTGGTGGCGCACACCTTTAATCCCAGCACTCTGGGACAGGTAGAACTCTGAGTTCAAAGCCAGCCTGGTTTATATAGTGAGTTCCAGGCCAGCTGGGGTTACAGGGAGACTGTCTCAAAAAGACCAAAAAAAAAAAAAAAGGAAAAAAAAGTTAAGACTACCAGTTCTCAACGGTGATGATTAATAAACAAGAAAAACACTAACACATGGGGAAAGCTGAGCTCCAGGAAACACCAAACAGTCTGGAGACTGCCCTAGCAATAAGATGCATTTAAAAATAACAAGCATGGGCTGGAGAGATGGCTCAGCAGTTAAGAACATTTGCTGTTCTTCCAGAGGACCTGTGTTCTATCCCTAGCACCCACATGGCGGCTAACAACCATGTGTAACTCCAGTTACAGGGGATCAGATGCTCTCTTCTTGCCCCTGGGGGCATTGCACACATGTGGTACACTTACATACATGCAGGCAAGCATTCATACACATAAAATAAAAATAATAATAAAGTATTTTAAAACATCATTCCTTTCAAGTCCAGATGATGTGGCATCAGCCTGATCCGCACAAGCTTTGAAAAAAGGAATTCTAGAAACAAGAGGACTAGTGAAGAATAAAGAAAAAACGTCCTGATTTTGTTGGTACTTTAAGAAAATGAGAGAGGCTAAACTAGCCTTTTCAGGATCATCCATGGTTGAAACTATACTCAAGTGGGCTAAGTTCTAGTTGTGCTCAAAATACCTGCCCAGTAGAATCACCTAGAGACTTCACATATACACCCAGTAAGAACAGTTGGTAAAGTGTTTGCCTAGCACACATACCACCCTGGGTTCCATTCCTAGCACAGTACAAAACCCAGCGCGGTGGTTGACACCTGTAATCCCAGCACTCAAAAGGCCAAGTCAAGAGGACTGTTGTGAGTTTGAGGCTGGCATGAGATGCACAGTGAGTTCTAGGCCAGCACTCTGTAGAGTGAGAGTCCATCTTACATCCACCACCACCAACAGCATAAGAAATCAAGTATTTTGTACAGACACAATAGGAAATAAGCCTAAAGACACCACAGGAATCAGCGAGATCCCTGACCACTGTAGGGTCAAGAATGCACAAGTATCAACTCATTTGAAAGACTTCTGGAGAGCACACACCTCCAGACCTCCTGCTCACATAAGGCCACCTAGAAAGTCGTTTTCCCAGGACTCATGTCATGGTGCTCAGTCACTCAGAGGTCATAGTAGCTGTGGTTCAAAAAGGCCTAGATACTGCCCGAGTTGGCTGCAAACCCTGGTGACACTGACATGATGATGGTTTTGAGAGGCATGCAGAATGCAAGCACCACAGTGTTATGGAGGCTTTTTCCAGACTGGGCAAGGTATACGGGTGCTGGACTCCTTGTGAGTGGCCAGAAGGCACACATGAAGCTGTGCTAGGGGAAGCTGGAAATGCAAAAGAGACCCCAAGAAATGTAAGATACGGAGAATGTAGACCATCTGAAGAAAGCTCCAGGCAGGGAGCAGCCCAAGAAAGGCCCTATGACATGCAACCAGTCAGGTCATAGAGTGGGACTGCCCTAGCCCTTTGGAACTCAGACCATGCCACAGTGAGCCTCACACAATGGACATGAAGCTACAGGTTCTAATGCTACCCTTCACTTTTCAGTCTTCGTTTTTCTTTGTCCCCATTCTCCATTTTGGAAGGAGAACACTTACTCTGTGCCACTGTACACTGGAAGGATGTAATCTGTTTTCTGATTTTAGCAGGGTCTCACAGTTTGCCTTGGGACTTGGAGGAAGGAAGCTGGATCTGAACTCTTGAGAAATGCTGTTAAGACTTTGGCAGCTCTTGGAAATGGACTAGATGCATTTTGCACTGTAAGCTGAACATAGCCTACATAGCCTTCGGGGCTAGGGATGGAACGTTATAGTTTGTATTATAAATGTTTTTTACTGGCTCACGCAGTGGAGGTTGGCGGTGCTATTTTGGTGCTGGAAACTTTAGGAGGTGGGGCCTGGCTGCAGGAAGCAGGTCACTGGGTGTATGTCCTGAAAGGGTATTTTGTCCCTGGCTCTCTCCCTTACCCTCCTCCTCGGCTTCCTGGCCACCATGAGGGGTGCAGCCTCCTCTGCCACATGCTCCTACCATCATGATACTCTGCTCATTGAATCCTCTGAACCCACAAGCCCAACAGAGCTTTCCTCCTTTCAGTTACTTCTCCAGGCACCTATGACTAACAAAAAACTGACTACCAGCCACTAATGAAGACAAGGCCAGCATCCCTTGGCAGCTCTGGTCCTAGACTTTCTGTACATCATCTTACTGAATTCTCACAACCACTTTCTAAGTTACAAACTATTGTCCTTTTAATGTTAAGGACACCGAGACACACAGAGGTTGGAAAACTTGCTCAAAGCCACATAGCTGAAAATAAAAGCCAAAATCTAAATGTAGGACATCTGATTCCAGGGCCTGGGCTCCTAACCTGTGAATACCTGGACTATTAAAGCAAGGAACGGGAGCCTTCCTACAGACACTGCTATGCTGTGTGCCTGTGACAAACCAAAGGGGGTCTGGAGATGGACACCAGGAAGAGAGAGGAGGGCAGCTTCAGGACAGCACCTGCTCCAGAGGATAAACCAAGGGAATCACACATCTTTCCTCAACCTCTTAATCTTCCACTGTAATACATATAAACCACAATTCTAAAACACAGTCTGACAGTAAATAAAACAAAGAACAGAGGTGACACATTAGGTAGTAAAAAGATTTGGAACCCAAGAATGGAGAGTATAGACTAAGCTCAGCACGGGAGCCTGGACTCTGTACTGATCCAGTAACACCCAGAGAGGCAGACAGTTTTACCGAAGTGCAGAGTTTTCCAGTTGCCCAGCAGTAAATTGTCAGTATACTGTATGTGGACAGACACCACGGTACCTGAGTCACCAGAGAAGAACATCCCATGCTGAAGTGCAGGAGCATGAAGACTCAAGCAAGGAGTTGAACCTGCATTAGATGCCCAAGAACGACTAAACACAGGGAGCTGTGGCATTTCTAAGAGCCTAATCCAAACCATCTGCAGGCCATTCAATTGAGCTTTACAAAGATTGCACCCTGAAGACCAATTGTAATTATGTATTTTAACATCCTCCCCAAGTGAAACTGATGGGAGTTCCAACAAACTACACTAACATTACTAAACCCTGAAACAAGCGCACAGCAGATGGGAAAGGGTGTGTGGTGCCCATCAACTAGACGTGGTAAATCGGGCTGAACCGAGTCTGGCTCTAATCTGGGACAACACTATGCTGGAAAACAAGCGCACGTGACAGAGTGACCTTCTCACGTCTTGCTTTGACCATTTGTTGTTAATAACAAACAGAAGAATCAGTAGGAACCAAATAGGCACCAAACAGTCTTTGCAATGCATAAACTTAGGAACAAGAGGCCTTGGTTTGCAGATGGCTGTCTATGCTCATAAGGGTCTGTAAGAGAGCAAACTCGTCTCAGATCTTGAACTTCTCTTGGGTTCACTTAGGTCTTAGAACTGTGCTGGGAAGGTTAACAAAGGACTCGAAAGAAGATGATAGATAAGTTTCTAAGGTTGTTTTCCCAACCCACAAAATGAAAGGAAGCCTCTTTCTCAAGGCAAGCTAGGGAGCAAGAGGACAGACCTCACAAGCAACCCCTGGGCTGCAACAGAAAGAAAATGAGTCTTCCCCACCAATGAGAAGAGGAAAGGAAAGGAAAGAGAGTCCGTAGACACCAGAGCACAGGTAAGAAACAAGTCCAAACGTGTTAAAGGATACGGTCTGTACCAGGGAATAGTGTTCTTCCGGTCAACAGCTCAGCCATGATGCACCCCACGGACCAGATATCCACTGGAAAATAGAAATACAAGCACATGTGTGATTTCTATTTCTTTCTTGACAAATAAACTGGACTGCAACCTAGGAGGGGAAAGATTGAATCAACTCTTGAGACTAAGTTCAACAATCATTTTTATAGAAATAAATAAACTTGGGCTGAAGAGATGGCTTAGCTGTTAAGAGCATTGGCTGGCCTTGCAGGGGACCTGGGTTCAATTCTCAGCACCCACATGGTGGCTAACAACTGTCTATAACTCGTTCCAGGGGGATCCAATGCTTTCTTCTGACCTCCACAGGCACTGCACAACACAGTTACAATACATGCTGGCAATACATTCATACACATAAAAAAAAAATTAACTTATTAGGTTGTACCCTGATCATTATAGTGGCGCATGCCTTTAATTCCAGCATGGAGGAAGAAAGGCAGGCAGATTTCTGTGAATTCGGGGCCAGCCTGATCTACACAGTATGGCTGTCTCAAAAAGGGGGGGGAGGTTCTCCAAAGTAATATGTAGGGGTCAAGCTGCTTAAAACCCACTATCTACTGGTAGAATTATTCAATTATATTGAAAGCCTAATGAAGTAAAGACCCAATCACTAAATCAGTTCAAAAGCTACTTTTAAAAGCCCCCCTTCCCCATCTGAACAAGTGAAATCTTTTCTAAGTTGTAGGATCTAGAAAGCTCCCTCTCCACCTCTGGAACCCACACCCATGCCCCACGGCAAGCAGTACCTGTCTGGTTGTAATGCATCCAGTTCAGCATGATCTCAGGAGCTCTGTACCACCTGGTGGCCACGTAGCCAGTCATCTCGTCATCAGTGTGCCGAGCCAGTCCAAAGTCCAGAATCTAAGGGGACAGGAGAAATTAGGCTCTGGACCAGGCAAACTGCCAAGGCTTAGAGAGCAGGCAAAGTTCTACAGCCTTATGGCAAAGGAGATCATCAAGTGGGCTTTCCAGTCCATGCTTAAAAATGCACAGTAAATAAATAACTCTGTAAATAAAATCACAAGCCAAACAAAATACCTCCTAGGTATTTACTCAAGAATAAAACCATGTCCAGACAAAAGTCTACAGGTTAATGTTAATGGAAACTTTATATGGCTACAAAGGGGGCTGTTGCAAATGTCCAGTAATGGGTGGATAGGCTACATTTTGGTATGCTTATAAAACAGAATCCTACTCAGCAACAAAACGAACTACTGAAGTACACACAGTACAGATAAAAACACTACTAAGAACACAGAAATGCACATGAGTCTCCATGACTCCATTTATATGAAACTCTATGAAAGATCACTCCACAGTGTTGCAAAGCAGATCAGCAGCCACCTGCAACCAGGACTAGGGAAGGCGGGCTGAGGACTGCTAAGAAGGGACACAAAGAACTTTTGGAAGTGATAGGAATTATTCTTTATTATAATTGTGGTAGTTACATGGACATAAACTTGTCAAAAAGGCACATTTAACTTGGTGTGTTTTACTGCGTGTTTATTAAAAACTGAAGAAAGTGTGGAGCTGTTTCCTCTTTACAGGTGATTCATTCACTTACGTCATTTGAATTCTTTTGAATGACTTTCTGCCACTTTTTCTTTTTAGGAACTAACTTAATAATGACTGCTTCAGGACTGCTTAATTGACAATCCCTTTACTACAATTAATATACACCATTTCTAATTTAACTTTCTTTTAAAATGAAAACAAGAATTCGAAGTCTACTTTCAAGGTCATTTAAACAGCTTGCTCAGTCTATAGTTTCAAAGTCTGGTATTCCTAGGGACACAATAAGTTTCCAGATAAAAATCCATGGCTCGCCGGGCGTGGTGGTACACGCCTTTAATCCCAGCACTCGGGAGGCAGAGGCAGGCGGATCTCTGTGAGTTCAAGGCCAGCCAGCCTGGTCTACATAGTGAGTTCCAGGACAGCTGGGGCTACAGGGAGACCCTGTCTCAAAAAGGCAAAACAAAAACAAAAACAAAAAAATCCATGGCTCATGAACCATTTCCTATGAGTCTGCCTGGTTAGTCTAGTGAACACTTGAGGGCAGCAGGTGACTGCTCCCGCCTCCCCCTTTTACCTTCAGCTCACAGTCTTCGTTCACGGCGAGGTTACTGGGCTTTAGGTCCTGGGAAACAAGCAGAGGGAACAGTGTCAACTTGATGCCGTGTGATGATCCTCCTCCTATGGGGGTCTAGAGTTCAGATACAAACGGAAGACCTCATGTAGACAAGTGGATTATATCCTATAGTCAGTCTCCAGGTCAAATGAGCCTCAAGCAGGCACAAATGACAAATGTCCCTTTATCAGGCTACATGGAGAGCAACATTGCAACCCATAAGTCAATCGCTGTTTCAATGGTTAAAAGATTAAGATCCTGACTGATGTCTTTCTTCTGTCCCCACCCACACCAGCAGATTATTACCACTGAAGACACAATACATACCCTGTGGATTATGTCAGCTGAGTGTATGTACTGTGAAAGAGAAAAAACAGTCAGTTGAAGAGAAGTCATCTCCAGCCTTTCACTGTTACACTCCGCAGAGCCCTCTGAAACGCATTTCCCCAGGTCAGGAGGACCGTTGTGTCCACAGGGGGATTTGAGATCACTATTCAGTTCATTTACACCAACTATAATTTCCACTCTACCTACTTAAGTTTTCAACCTATTTTCTGGCTGATAACCTCAATAAGCACTTCTCCTCTGTTAAATGTCAAAGATGGTTTAATGTTAAAGCATTTTACCCACTCTTCCCATGACTAAATTAGCCTCTCTGAAGAACCTTTTAACTTTTTTGGAGGAACTCATTACACAACACTGACTGGCCTGTACTCACGATGAACCCAGGTTCATGGCAGACCTGTCTCTGCCTCCTGAACACTGAGAGAGAATATAAAGACTAGCCAAACTCTGAGGAACTTTTCTTAAAAATTCTTTTCGAAAATTGATTATTTTTAGTTTAAGTGAATGAGTGTATTGCCTACATGTATGTGAGTGCACCCATGTCGTGCAATGCCGTAGAGGGCTTTGGATTCCCCTGGAACTGGAGTTAAGGACAGTTCATAGCTGCCATGTGGGTGCTGGGAATTGAACCCGGGTCCTCTGCAAGAGCAATCGGTGCTCTTAACCGCTGAGCCATGTCTCCAGACCCCTCTGAGGAACTTTTAAAAGCCTCAATATCACACCAATCAGCTATCAATTTACATCAAGAAGTTATTCATATTTTAATATACTAAAAAAGTCCGCTTCATGTAAAGTAGAAGATGACATAACACCTAGACTTGCTTTACAGTAATCTGGCTTGGCAATATAAAAAAAAAAACAAGTTGGCTGATTCTGTGGACATCTGGACTTCCATAAGAAAAGTTGCTTGTGTGTTCTAAGTTCATACTGGGAGAGAAGGGAGGATTCATTTCTCCCAATATCTGCTGGTGTTGCCTGCTGTACCTTTAGGCCTCGGAGGATCTGGTAAATGAGGAACTGTACGTGGTCATCAGTGAGCTTCTGACACTTCACGATGTTGTTCAGATCTGCCCCCATGAGATGGGTCACCAGGTACCTAGAAACAGGAGGAAAGTTACAGACCCAGGAAGGACCCTAGGAAGTGCCAGGGTGGTAGATAGCTAAAAATCTCAACAACTACTTACTGGAGACTTTAATACCAGTCATCTAGTATAACTACTTTATGCTCAGATCTACTTCTGCATATTTTTCCATGTTCTATAAAAGAAACATGAGATGAAAACGGCCAAGATGGGGCTTAGAAAGATAAACATGCTGTCAGTTTGTTTTCCATCTCTCGTTTCTTTCTGAGACAGGATCTCATGCAGCCCAGAATGACTTCAAACACCTGTGTGGCCAAAGCTGACTCTGAGTTTCTGATCATCCAGTACTTCCTGAGTGCTAGAATCAAGACTGTTCCACATGTGGGGTATATGTGATACTGGGGATAAAGCCCAAGGTTTCGGGAACTTCACGCAAGCACTCTACAACGCAGCCACATCCTCACCCCACCATCAGTTTTTTTCTTACAAATGTCACTTCTGCAGAAGAAATACACAGTATAACTAAGTGCGTTGCCATAATAAAGGATCTCACACTTTCAAACCCACAGCCACAGTTTGACCTCATTAAGCCTTCCATATTTTAAGTTTTTAAATAGACTGTCCTTAGATTTTCAAACTGTAATCCTCCTTTTTTGGGAGCGACTAGCAAAAGAATATAGTTTATTGGCAATATTCCTAAGCTTACCTCACAGGAAGCAGGAACAGGGCAGTCCAGAACTCTTCACAGGTGTGGTGCTGATTATTACTCCTGCCTTTGTGTGGTATGATTAGGGAGTGATTGCACTCAAGTCCAGCAGGTTCACCACAGAAATTCTAGACATAATGCCTTAGCCCCATCATTACTGTGCACACAGTGTAGGACCAGAGACCAGACCAGAACTACAGAGGTGGATTTTCAAAAATTAGAGGTGTTTTTCCTCCATGAGGAACTGAATTCTTTTTTTCCTTAGAATTTCCCAGTAGGTCTGTTGTTTATGAACACCAACAGGATGTGGCGTAGCTGTCACTGCAAATTAAGATTTTAGCTGTGTTCCTAACACTTGTTTATACTGCCTTCAAGAAAAGGTCAACTCTACATGTCATTTAAAGAGTAAATTAAAGGTCCGGAGAGATGATATAGCAGTGCTTTTCTACAGGATCCAAGTTTGGTTCCCAGCACTCATCCATGCTGGGCGGCTCTCAACCTCCTGTCACTCTAGCTCAAGGGGACCCGATATCCTCTTGGGCTTTCTCGTTTCCATCAAGGTAGTTTTGATTGTAGATGTTTCAAGCACAAGAGCACATAATCAAAAGCCACTAAGCCTGATGACCTGAGTTCTATCCCCAGGACCCACACAGTGGAGAGAACCCACTCTGGCAAGTTGTCCTCTGGCCTCCACATGTGTGCTATAGTGCGCGCACGTATGCATGCACACATGCACACACACACACACAAATAAGTGCAATTGAAAATTTAAAGTTTTATAGATGTCACAATAACCAAGTGTGCCTTATCTCTAGATGACTTCCTTAACAAGTTCAATTTCCCAATATCTATTACCACAGTTAATCTTTAATGAAGAAAAGCTGTCAAGAATACATTATTCCTTTCGAATCAGTCACTTTGTGTGTGTGTGTGTGTGTGTGTGTGTGTGTGAGAGAGAGAGAGAGAGAGAGAGAGAGAGAGAGAGAGAG